GCTATACTGTTTAAAAGATTATGAATTAAAATTGAAATGGAAAATTTAAAAATACACGCAGGATTCGAACCCGCAATCACCAGGTAACGTTGTGATGGTTGAATAAATAGAATGATTAATTTAAATATATAAAATCTAGGTATATGCTTTCAATTTTTTGTGTGCAATATTCCCTACGTTACATAGCCAATCCCGCTTTTTTATTTTGTATATGAATTTAAATTCAAATCTACTTGAACATTGTTTTGATGTTAGAACATAATTTTACGAATGATAATATTATGCCGCTTCTCAGTAACTAACATTCTCAGACATTACGCTAATGCCTGCTTCACCGTAAGGTCACACAGTTACATTTGAGGTCGACACAAGTGTAGCAGTATATATCACGTTTCAAGCGAATTATCAAGAGTGAATGAAGGATTTCATGAGTGAATATACTCGTAGGAATCTACACTCATTCAAAAGAGTGAAACAGTCGAATATTTCACTGGATTTCACTGTTGTAGTTTATATCTGTATCAGGTTTTATTATATTATACAAACGTTTAAATCGTGTCGTGAATGTCGTGAATTTTTTATATTTTATTATTATATAACGAAAGAGAAATTAAAATAAATTTTATATATTTGTTCATTAAATTAAAACATTAATCTTATTTTATTCATTTTTTACAGCTATATAAAGAAATTTAACGTTTTTATTGAATAATATTTAACCGACTCCAAAAAAGGAGTTTATCAATTCGACCTGAATGTATGTAATATTTCTAGAATGACCAAGTTTTATTATATGTATGTTAGTCTATATCAACGTCTATAAAAATGTGCAAAATTTCAAAATTGTATGTAAGTATGTATGGTTTTACGTTTGTGTTCGCATATCTCTAGAACGGCAAAATCGATTTAAGTAATTTTTTTTTGTTGGGGTATTTTTTGTTTAACCAAGAGAGTACTGCAAGTTTCATCAAGATCGGTTAAGTTGTTTTTAAGAGACGGAATTTCCGGGAAGGGTGTTGTAATTCCCTTATAATTTATTATTAGTAACTGTTGTATTTCTGGGTATGCACGAGGATTTTGTGGCTGTTTTAACATTTTGTTATGATTTATTTCATTGATTTGCGAGGCAATATCAGGCACTTTTATGGGCAGATGGACTAGATGACACTACAACGTAAGTGTAAAAAAATTAAATAAAGAAAAATTAAACAAACTTCAAAAGTGTAAGTAAATAATATGTCAAGAAAGAATATAACAGAAATAAAAAGTAAAAAAATAACTAAGCTAACTTCTGTTCTAAATAAACTCCCTTTGATATATTAATAAAGTATTGTTTGATGTCGATGTTTGCTCTTTTTTTTAGGACAGTAATGTACCCAATGAAATCAATGCTTACTTTCGAAGTCGTTTTTTTATTATTCTTTATATTTTTATTTCACTGTATGCTTTTAAATTAACTTTCCACGTATTTTAATGATTCGAATTACATGGTAAATGATTTTCATAAAGCAAATATAATGAATAATTCGTTGAAATTTCGATAAAATGCTTTTCTATGAGTTCATTAAAATTTTAATTGGATCCTAGATTCGTAGAGTGGGCATGAATTCTAATGGTTTCCTAGTATTCGTGATGCGTGCACGTGGATTAGATGACAATTTCGATTTTTTGGGTGAAATTTTAAAGTATACGTGAACGTCATTAGAATGAACGAATAAAAGTGAAAATCGCTTTCTATTTCGATATATATATTTTCTAAAAATATATTCATTCCTCTATTTAAAAATCAATGAGTAATTTATGCATCGGCGTCTTGTCGTGGCCCACGATATCGTTTACCCCTACAGCGATGATAGTGATTTACGCAATCATGACAATAAGTTGAAATTTTCTCTGAGAATTAAAGTAATTTGATCGAATCAAAAAAAATCTTAAACAGAATTTGAAAATAAGCTCAGAGTTGAAATAACCAATTGTTACTATAAAACCCAATAAAGGGTTAATATTAACAGAAATCTGTTTTTAAACAAACATAGATTTGTTATTTATAATATTTACAACTCATTTAGTATTCAAATTTTTTTTGGAATAATATTTAAAAACATTTCACATAACTGGATTTAAACACGAATATGGTAACATTGTCGTTACTGAAGTTGGTAAGTATGAGAGAAATATTTGATTTTTATGTTATATCTACAAATCTGTATGAAGACTATGTTGCATGCTGTTAATAGTAAGTAGAATTTGATAAAAAATGACCGACTTAAACCTATTTGGTTTATAGAAATCTGACACTTTTTTAATGGCATATCTTTTACATTGGTTGTATGTTATTAAGTCCAATGAGTAAAATTTTTTTTTAACTTAGAAGTATTTGTGTCAAGTAATGTAACCGACTATGTATAGAGCCGTTGTTGGTAAGTAAAGCGTAAAGGTAAATAGTTTTTTATTTTGTTGCAAAGCAATTTTTTATATATACATATATGAATGAATCATTTGTTATTCGAACAGTGCATGTTCAGAATAACTATTCAATATTCAATTGAATTAAACAGTAGCAAAATTAATATTAATGTCAAAAAAAGCAGAGTAATGTTTTCCATAGACAAACGTTTTGTTTGTTGTCTATATATGAATATAGAGGACGCTGTAGTTACGTTTAATATATCAATTTGTTACCACATTAAAAATCTCCTCACCTGCTTCTTTATTAACATAATTATAAAAAGAATGTTGTATACTAGAATATCTTTAGTCCAATCAAGAATCGCAGGTACGATACCAAGGTAGGTATGAATGTCATACGTCATAATTAAGGTATTATATTATTAAAGCAGTCAGTGTCAGAATTATAATTCAAACATAAATTACGATTTCATATTTAAATTATGAATGAGGATTTTCAAATACATTCAAAGGATTTAACACACGTTGCTTAATTCGACTTGATAACGCAATGTCATATCCGTAAATATATATTCAAATATCGTTGGGAGAAATAACAAAAAATATAAAACTTTTATTACTCTCATAAAAGTTTTTAATTTTTTCATTATCTATTTACAGCTGCATGTCACAATAAATAATATAAATTTATGTAGAAACATGACGATTTTGTATTTTCGTAATTCAATAACAGATTTCACGGTCGCAATGTCGCTTTGTAGCAGAGTTTCATAAGATAAGTTACAGTTATTCTATTCTTATGAAAAGTACAATAAATTTATAATAAAGTTGCACTAAATTTTTTCAACTGATAAAAAAAATTGGAACAATCGGGGCGTGTCGTTTCGTTATCACGCCAGGTATCATTACACGTTTAATTCAACAATTATAAACTAGTATATAAATAAAATTAACAAAAAGAATACGAGTACAATGATACCTTTCATTAGAATATTTTTTTCATAGATTAAGCAATAATAGACGTCTTCATTGTGTGATTAATTGGATACAAAATATATGTGTATATATATAAAGATTACATAACATTTGATAACTAAACGATAAATATTCAATATGCATATTTGAAGCTCTGACTTAATAATAAATAAATTTCATTAAATTGAACAAAAACCCCAAAGAAATTATTGTCATTTTGGGATTTCACAAGTATGTATATAGTCGAGTAATACGCTGTCACAGACAGAAACATAAAAAAGACACTGACGCCAAACTTATACGAGTAGATACCCTTCTTTTTGAGACGAGAGTGACAAAAAAAACATTTATTTTAAGAGATAGTGTAGATTATTTTCCTCTATGCATGCATTTTATTTATATTATATTTGTCTTCTGTATTTTGAGGTATATAGAACCTTTTTTATTTGTGGAAATAAATTGTTTACTTGTACTCTCATAATGTATATAATTTATCAAAACAATCATAAATTATTAGATTTTCAGTTTCTAATATTATTTATATAGAAAGAAGAAATAATTAAGTACAAAAAATTCATTATCTTCATTAAGGAATGGCCTTTTTTTACCGTATATATTTATTTCCTCTGATTAACAAATAGGTTTCTTCTTCCTCTAATAATCAGATTTCTTTCCTTGTCAATCAAGGTTAAGTGCAAGTAGACGTGAACTTGATTTCATGTAGTTCACGAGGCAGACGAATAACCGTTACATTTTAAAAGATTTATGATTGCATCACGTCCCAGATACGTTATATCTAGATTCATGGCTCTTATTTAATGTTCCACATATCAGCTTCAAGATCAACGCTTTAATAAAACCTAAGTAACAAAATTGTTACATTTTTTGTTGCAATACATATACATATATAATTTACGAAAAAAAAATCTTTTTTTTAATTAGTTACCAGTTATGCTTAGTAACAAAAATAAATCTTATATTAATTATTATATCATGTTTTTAGAGAAATTTTAAAAATATTGTTGCATAATATTTTGTGAAAATTTTCGTAAATTATATTAAATATAAAAATAATTTTAGTGCTACTACAAATCTGGCTGAATTTTTTAAAGTATATTCATGGCCTGAAAAAAAAAACAAAAAAATAAACAAGAGAATAACGTATTCGCGCTCACACTTGACCTCGATGCTTTATCAACTAAATATAAACTAGTAAGAGTTGTTAAACAATTGATTTTAAGTAGTGGCATCCTTTTCTTTTATACAATTTTGTTTGAAATATATTATGCAATCATATAAATACTCAGTTTTGTATAACTTTGTATGGATGATGCTCTGCCTTGACGGGATATCATATGATCGTAGTGTGACGTATGTATGTGGTTTGCCGCGGACATAATTTAATATATTGAATTTATTCAGGTCAAAGGATTGATTAACGCTACATATGAAACAAAAAGCAAACATTTTTAAAGCATTGGCACGATAGATGAAACCAGCATTAGTTAGACGAAGTTTATTAAGTTGCAACATGTTGCACAGTTTTAAATTAAAAATTTGCAATTATTTTGGTGTATTTTAAATTAGGTGTTAAAAAAATAAAAGAAATAAATTACCTTTCTTCCGTTTGGGCATCACTCTTACACCAAACGTTAGTTCAGTCACAAGACACAAGGATAAAGTCAGTAAACAGTATCTGGCACTGCACCCCATTTTGTCACAGTTTCGTTGCCCTTTTCAAATATTATGATAAAAGCACTATGGCACCGCGCATTTGCCTGCTCAAACGTGATATCAGCTTGGCCAACGGATGGCGTGACAGCACGCGCGGGCACACGAATTAAAAAAAATATATATATCGGAGCCGATGTGCGCCACCAGCGGACGACTAAACCGCCCGACTACCCTATATTTTGACTTATAGCAATTTGGCAGTGCAAATTCTACTTGTATATAAAACCTTTCGCCGGCTCGGGGCGGGCGGTCATTGGTTGTGCAGAACAACGTGCGAAGGTGAAGGGAGCTGGAGGTGGCACCCCCCACGCGTTGCGGGGAAGGGGCAACCCACGGTCGACAGACACTTTTGCTATCGTTAGCGGTAGCTGGCATGTTCAGGTTACACCGTTAACACTTATTAACTCGTAAAAAACATACGCAACGTTTTTCGTATGTACCTATGTAGTTAAACGATTTTTTTAAGAGTAACGTATTTCATAGATACAAATTCTCATGAAAACTATTTGCATGTTACTAAAATGTACGATATCATTTGCAATTTTATTGTTATGTAGTTTTACATTGTATGTGTTGAACAAAACGTTTAATATTAAGAGACAGCGAAGGGTGACCAGCTTGCTCAGCCTGGGGCCAAGTTACCCAATGTTTATCTGATTGAGACATATATCCTCGTCGTGATCTAGGAACGAATAACAATACTTGACAACAGGAAAGAAATGTTTTGACTATGTATTACAATTACACGGACATAAATTATATGAATTACAACTTTAAGTAATAAATATTGTAATATTTTTTATTAACTGTTAAACAAGCGTAGGCCAACATAACTATGGTTACAACAATTCTTATCTTTAGTATCGCGAATTAGGCGTATAGAAAAATAATGTAGAAATTATCTCTTGTGATGTAATAAGTGGAAGTAACAGAAAGATGCGTGCGCTCACGTAATTAGTACTACTTTTTTATTTCACATTGCCTTTTGGAATCTCAGTAATCGTTTTAGGAAAAAAATCAAAATTATTAATGAATTTTTTTCAAGCATAACATCGAAATAAAGAAAACTACACATGAACAGGCAGTTAAACGTGACTTGAAATGCTTAATGTTTCGTAGTTGAACATTTAACTAGATATAAGCGTAAATACAGAATACGAGGTTTGTAGTACGGAAATAAATAGTTGCATGTTGAAGTAAACTATGCCGTTCCCAGTGAGTATGAGAGTCTGTTGTGATTTAGCTATCATGAATATGAGTAGCTTGGTGACAGCTGGGTACGCCCACACTTCCCACTCCACGCTGTACAAATCCAAGCTCAATTCTTCACTTGTCTGTAAACATATTAAAAAATCTTTATATATAAAGAACATAATTATAAAATAAACAAGAAAAAAAGCTATACAATTAATAATAATTTGAAATCGAAAGCGGATCGGAAATCAATGCACGGTAATACTATTGATACTTTTTTCTAACAGAAAAAAAAATCGTTACAACACCCAAGAACTTTCTTTTGCATAAGAGTGAAACAGAGTTAAATATTTATTGGAATACTTACTTCGTATACGATATATATATTGTGTTTTTTATTTATATTGTTAAACTGTTAAATTATATGCAATAAAAAGTGACAAAGTAATGTTATTTGATAATATATGACCGCAAAGTTGTTTTTAAATTAAGGGTTAGAGGAATTAGATTTTGAAGAGAATTTATTTTTCTCATTTAAAAATATAATATACAAGGAATCACTTGGGAATATGATGCTATGTAGTAGATCTTATAAAAGAGTTACAGTAAGTAGTCGGTAGCCAGGCGCTAGCGTCTTTTTTACATAGTCATATATTTTGAGGTTCATATTTTTCAATCGACATGTGAAATGGACGCTACATAAAAAGCGTAGACTCTAGTCTTGCTTTGTCGTACATAAAGAACAATGCAAAATATAATATATGAGCAACGCAGGTAAATTCCTTACTGAACATATTACTCCATCAAAAATATTTCTGTCTTACAAATTTTATTATAACAATTTACGTAAAAGATTTCTTTTTTTAAACATATAGATCAAAGCAGTTACGCTCTAAATTACTTTCGTGTACTAGTCGTGTGCTATTGAATTCAGTTACATTGTCTTGATCTGTGCTAGTTCGTCTTTTATGTGCTTTAATTGGCCAAATTAATTCAAATTGTTCAAATATCTGTCTAAAGCATTACATTTAATTGCTCTGATAATGCTCGGATAATAATTTTCCGCTAATGACTGACCTTTATTAAATTGCTAGCAAAATAGCAGGGCGTGAACATATGGATAATTCCACTTATAGCAAATATGGCGTATTTTGGATCGACTCTTTCGCTCAGATATATTTGATAAATATTAAGTGAAATTAATAGTGATGTAACCGCAAATACGGTGAACAACCAGCTTCCATAAACTGCCTGTAAATCTTCATAAAACGATAAAGCCTCTTGATGGTCTCTTATTGTTTCTTTTATCATCGCGTGGAGTTCGTATCTATTTTTAGCGTCCTTAAAGGCTCTGTCTACTTTATGCGCCAATAATTTCAGCTTGAGTCGCAAGTGGTTAGTAGCTATGCAGAATGAACCGTCAAACCCAGCGAAGTTTGGTGACAAAGTTAAGCATGTAATGAGATGATAAGCGAAAGTTAATTCATAAATTGGTGAATCATATTGTTTATCTTCCAAATATTTGAGGTCCATTTCATGAATCATATATTTCTTGCCCACATCAGTTTTCAAACTTTCGTATATAGTTGATACGCCAGCGTAAATTGGAAATTGTGATGTTAAAAGAATTGGAATAAATATCCAGCAGGTTTGGCCAAGTTTGCCCAGTTTTATATATTTTTCGTAGATTTCCTGGTAGCTGTCATCCATATCATTACCTTTTAACAAATCATTGCTTATTTTTTCCAATATTTGAGCAAATCTATGTGTCTTATTAGTGACGTAAAAGGATTTAAAGAAAAATAGTGTCACAAGGATACCGATGGTAAGATTTCGGGAAACGTTATACATGTCGTGGTTGCAAATACACTTCCACAAATACAAAAGAAACCAGTACAGCATGACGCCATTGATGGCGATCACGGAGAAGATAACTTTAAATCGTGTTTGAATATTTTCCCTGTTTGGGTAAATCATGGATATTGCCAGGGCAAATGCACAGTGCGGGAATGTTTCATTGAAACTTTTGAATTTTTTGTCACGTTTTGTGGTATTTGTATTTATTTCCATTTTAACAACACGAATATAATATCAGTTTTGAGGTTTTCAGCTTGATAATATTATTCCGACTGAAATAGGAAAGCTTTTTCGTCATTAAAGGTAATGTTATAAAATTGCTAACAATTTTGCGACCATTAAGCTTGATGAAAGCAAAGTAAAAACCGTCATCAAGTATTTTCTTCGATATCACATTTTTAATGTGTTGTGGATGTTGTAATTTTATTAAATAAGGCATTGAAATAAATTTAACAGATTTTTTTTTATTTTAATATATTTTTTGTTACGACTTAGCGTTTGTTTATTTGCAACATTAATGATTACATGAAACAAAAAATATAATATAAATGATGGCATTAAATTAATAAAAAATATTAAGATTACAAATAATATTAAATAAAAATAAATAAATTCACTTGGATAAATATTTAATTAAAAACTGAAATAATAATGTATTGTTCTATGATGTAGCTGTAAGTGACGCAGTTAATGTATTTTTATTGATATAGTAACTATTAACGGTGTTAAGAAAATTCAATGACATTAAATATTAATACAAAAGTGAAACAACAAATGATTCAATACGTAAACTTATAATGTAGAAATATATATTTTTTTAGAATTTTGTTGCCATTCTTGGTGTTTGTTAAGTATGTAATGTTTACATATTTTAAATAAGATCGCTTTGGATGTATCTTTAAAAAAAAATGATATACAATAATTTGTGGTTTTAAGGCAAACTGAAAACGAACGAATTTTAATGACATTCTTTATGCAATCATTTATGACTTGAAAAATTATGAAATGTATAATATAATAACAACTTCATACTAATCAAATCAATACACATTGGACCTTTTTGCAATAATTCCGAATCTGTTTGGAATTGGTCAACAACAAATAAAGCAGGTATACCTATGAAGTTTGGGCCAAGTGTAAAATTTATTTTATTTTCAGGAAATCATTGCTCAAATTTTTATCTCAATATTTAAAACAAATTGCTGTAAAAAGCTTGCTACGTTTGATTTAAAATTTAATAGATATTAGTACAACGAAATAATGAATATGAGTAGGTTTCTGTCATTTAAACTACGAGCTAGACAAAATTTTTCTGCAGCGGCTTCCAGTGGCTACTAATCAAACAATATGTATATAAACTGTAGGTACTTCATTCCAATATATACGCTACATAAATAAAATTTGACAAGAAGTATTCTCTATATATAGAATGCTCTTTTAGGCGAGGAGAAAAAATATTACCTATATTTATAATTATAAAATGATGTTTGAATCACCGTTTATACAAAAAAAATTGAGATCTTAAATTGATATGTGTTCTAATAGTTTAAAAGTACCACTGTTACAGATAGTATCTTGATAATTTTGGATAAGCTGGTAGCGAGTGAATGTGGCCCGACTGGTGTTTTTATCAGACCACAGGACCAATGTTATGAAATCCATTGCGTGTTTTATAGTTAATTTAATTATGCCAGTCAATACATAATGTTTGAAATTGTTACTTTCACGACAGGTTATCACAATTAAATGAGCTTCTAATTACTTGTGTTTTTTTTATGAAGTAATAAAATTTGTAAGATATACTTAAGATCTTGTGTTTTTTTATTACGTATTTTAAAACATTGAGGTTATCGTTCGCAAAATGTTTTGTTGATGCGTTCCGGATAGATTAAGTCTTAATTGAAATTTTACCTGTGGAATATGTATGACTGTCTTCCTATAGTAAATAAAATTCAGTTTATCTGTATTACAATTAAGATAATGTAAACAATTATGTTTTGGTTACTTTAAATTTGATACAACTCAAATTTTTGTGTCCTTAGTCCTACAAGTTATTAAAAAATATAATCAATAGATTGGAATATTATCTGAAATAAAATTCTTGAATTTAATTATGTTTGAAATAATTTATATTGTCACTATAAATAATTTTCATTTGATACTAAATGTAAATTTTTGCGTAACGTTGCTAAAAATACATTATCTGCTTATTTATGAAACCGTAATAAATTAGTAATTTTTTATTTGGGACTGTTTGCAGTTTAATAATTTTGTATATGTAATTAATATTTTTCTTCTAATTGACTTAAATGCCTTTCTTTGACTGTTGCTATTGAATTTTAATATGTTAATTGGTAAAATTTTTTTCTTAACCAGTAAATGTTGATGTTGGATACTCCATGTTTTGAAATTTATGGATCAAAAATAGTTATATTATTTGATTATTTAAAAAAATCATAGAATGTAAAAAAGAAATTTCTCATTAAATGTAATGTTGAGTTTAAAACTATTATGTTATCTGAGTTTTAAGTTTAAGAAATTTGAGATTTGATACGTGTGATATAAGGTCTACTTTGTAACGTTACTATTTAACTAATAATGTTGCTTTTGTATATATTTAAGTATCTGTTATAGCCGTGGTAACTTATATGTACATCTGTTATTATTATTTCGTGAAGATTTATTAAGTTTAATTTAAGATAAAACATATATTCGTGTGAAACACATCAAAGCCGTACAATTTGGTACAATCTGTCGTGGGTAAGCGTTTCTTTTATATGACTATTGTTGAATTATTTTAATTAGGTTAATTTGAACAATGGCTTCTAATTTGAGTTTTTTGAATAACGTTTTCTTGTCATAAAACACAAATATTCGTATTATTGTTCATTCAAAACTATTAACTGCTTTAATTAGATCCATATGTTTGTAACAATATAAATTAAAGGAGAGTTGATTTCACGATATGCAAGTAAAGATGTATATTTAATATAAACTTTACATTTAAATGAATCTAATATTTTTCGTATATACTACGCGGTTTGTGGTTGTGAATGAACACATATCGTCTGCTCATCTGATCATGAGATGATCACGGTTGCTGAAAAGTAGCCGAAACGTCGGTAATATGTAGTTTTTTACAAAAATAAACCGCGTAGTATATTCGAAAATTATTAGTTTCATTGAAATGAATAAAACTCGCAAATTCTTCGATCTCATTACAATTTTTATCCTACAAAAGTGTACTAATATTGAACTAATGTCTCTCAGTAAAGGATAGCACAGAATAAAAGAAAATATATTTTAAACAATTTATTATTTTTTATAATTAGTATTCATTCAATCACTGTCATGATCCACATTTTAAGTTGTTGAAATTTAATATTTTAAATCATAACACAACCGTTATTCGAACGGTAAGAATGAATACGTTGAGAGGAATTTCTTATTTGTCGATTTTTTAAATATAAGATACCTTGTATGGTTTTCCGAAAATAACGAGGCTGTTATATAAAATATATATTTTTCCCTAACCGAAATTAAAAGAACTGCTAATAAGCGCATTGACCTCAAAGGAACAAGAATGTATGTATGTATATGTATTGTAATTATGTATATATATTTAAATAATAAATTCCTTAATGCTTGCGTTATGTGAATAATAATTATTTTTTAAGTATATACTTACTTTGTTAGTGCGCCTTTCGCTGAATTCATATCGACATATATAGTCAGTATTTTATTTAATTCTGGCTCAACGTATTTTAAGTATCTGTAACTGAACCACATTCATATAATATTGAGAAATAATTTATAAGTCGACTGCAAAATAAGTGAATTTAAACATGTAAACAATGGCGAATTTAATTTGTCATAGAAGGCACAGTACTTTTTCGTTTTTTTACAAAATAAGTTTATTTTTATTTTACGATATTTCAAAAACTTACTTAAAGACGCATGTGTTTCTAAAATCAAATATCTTGAAAAAGCGAACGTATAATTTATTAAAGAAACAAAAAAATATATACAATAATATATAATATACGAGAAAAAATATAACACTTCATATGCAATCGAGTAAAAATTGAAAATTACTTTTGTATTTAGCAAAGTAACTATAAAAAATCCTTTAAAGGGTATGTTTTCACGTAACTCCACTAAAAATGGGTAATTAACCGGTTATGTGGGTTTAAGATTTCAAAACCATTGAGTGTTCAATATAACAATGGCAACCCTATTTACATAAGTATTTTATAAATGTATATCGAATTCACCTTTCACTGGGACAGTTAAAAGTATCTTAATGACGATCGAGAAATTTTGTTTTGCTTTAAGATTTCGTTATAAAATTATTTTCTAGGCCTCAATAATTCTAAGATTCAAAACAAATATAATATAGCATAGTGTTTGTTTATTTAAATAAATAACTTTATTATAATGTAACAGGAAATCCTTGTCGCGTTACCCATTTCTTAGCCGGATTTATGTTAATATGTATGTAGAGCAATTCGTTACCGGGTTTTGAGCTGGTTTTTTTATGACTATTATGAGTCGTGTCATAAAATTATATATGATTAATGATTTTATGTAAACTTAATAAAATTACAATATAATATATCATTGTATGTAAAATTATATAGTATATGTGAATTAACAACATATTTCATATTTTTGACAAGGTCTTTTGTACTGATATGGAATTTGAGAGAGAATTGAATGTGGCTAGAGTTTGGGAAAGATTTACTTATACTATATATATCACTTTTGATTTTTTATATTAAAATATATTATATTTATATATATAATTCTTCTGTGAGTGTGTATGTCACTGAACTTCTCTCAAACCACTGGACCAAATTTGATGAATTTTTTTGTGTGTGTTCAAGGGGATCTGGGAATAGTTTAGATTCACAATTTTGTCCGCTGGACAATGTTTTTTATTAATTTTTAATTTATTAGTAGTTGTTGATACAAACATTTTTTTTTGACATTAGATTTGACAATTAACTAATATGTCAATCATTCTGTCGCACTTCAAAAACACGGAGATTTATGGATTTATGACTTCAAAAAACTCCAAAAATATAAATAAAAAAACGTAACAGATATTTCTTGATTATAGAGCGATACGAAGTTCGCCGGGTCTTCTACATAGTCTATTATTACATTATACATAAGGCATTTATTATTAAGATTTATGTAGCATAATTCAC